GTTGTACGCGCGTAAAATGTAATTATCAGAAACTACTGGAGGGAATTAACAGTAAACAAAACGACCGAAGAAAATCGCTAATTGGACGATTACACACGCTATCTATGAATTAATAACACCATGAAGAAGAAAAACTGAAACGTGAGTTATTCAAATAGTTAACAAATTTGACACCAAGCCACCTAAAAACAAGTTCTTGACAATGCTGGGGATTTATAATGTGTGGAAATCGTATAACAGGCTAATAATTTGGATGACGAATGCAACTAAAACCTCCGATCAATGACAATTGCCAGCGTTGTTCAGTCATCGAGTGACCCTACACACAGCTAAGATATTGGAATATCAGCGTCCGGTCAGTCTGGCCACAGTCCCTTATAATGACGGCTCGGGCGGGAGTTTAACCCAATTAGATTAAGACTCCATATAATCTTGTGAAGAGCCTGAGTGTTCATTTTACCAGAAACATAACCGAATTTCCAAGCCGAAAAGAGATTACAGGATCAAGCAGGACGCTGCGCCATTTTGGGGGTGTTGACACGGTTCCATGGCCATTCTGCTGAAGAAGTCGGCTGATATGATGCTTGTTAAGAGAACAGGAATTAACTCTCAGAACGTATGGCGATAATTGGCATTAACGACCCAGTATATCTTTTGCTTGCTCGTTGGCGTTATCAAAGTCATCATTTTATGCATCCTGGGTTTTTGCTATTTGATGTGTCGTGTTCGGTGTGTTAATGAATCTGGACGCTTCATCTGACAGAAAATACAGTTGCGTTATCTTCATTCGACCGTGCTGTTCAATACAACGTTTCCATGATTCGATAATTCAGCGTTCTAGTTAAGACCGCTTTGAACAGTATTCCAGTTACATGGCAGCGTGGAGAAAAACACTAAATTATAAAGGTCAAGGACGTATCACTTTCGTGAAACGCAAGAGCATGGGTATGGTGCTGACAAACGTAGACACGTTATCGGGGCAACCCAGGACTCAAGCCCATGATCATGAGACCGCCCTTTGCACTCTGAATAGCAGCGCCTTCGTCGGTGGGGTCAACTGAGTCCCCTTACCTAGTATAATATATCTTAACCCATTTGCTGGATATCGCTGGAATATTGCTAAAAGCGGCGTAAAACCAAACTCCCTCACTCACTTAACCCATTCATTACCAAAACGTTGTTTTAAAAAAGATTCGTGTGACATAAAAATAGTCAACAAATCAAATTACGCCAATGAGCGAGTTGTTGGTGGCAACAGATCCGGATTAGGTGTTCTGGGTGCTGTTGTACAAAAACAGTGCTAAAACTGCCGTTCACATACACCGCTACCTTCCCTAAGGAATCCTTAGCGGACAACCGAGACTGGTTATTCTCTCCCGTTGAAGTTTATCACTTACGCATAGACAAAGCTGATTTTGTGATTGAGTGAGGAAGCAGATATACTTTTAGGCCAACGTTAGTACCTCTATGTCTGTAGTGTTGAAGTATGAACTGGACATCTAGGTCTAACGCTGCCATTGTGGAAATTATTCAAGCACTTGGCAGGGTAAAACTTATAGATAGAAAAATATTCATATCAAACAGTCATTGTGGCCACCTGATCCACTATTTCATGTGATGAATACGGTGGCTGTTCTAAATCTAACAGAACTCGACATTCTGTACAGCAAACTCGCTTCTCTGTACATCAACGTGTAAATAAGAATTCTCAAGCAGCACGATGACATCATAGATAGGAATGGATGTCACATAACGCTTAGACTTTATGACAAAATGATTATGATTAGATGGTCCCATTATCGAAGTTCAAAAGCATGAGGACACACAAGTGAAAGGCCATTAACAGCGAAGGAATGCAAACAACATAGTATGACACAAATCCAATTACAATAATTCAGCCCCCACACTAAATATTCTGAAATGATATGCAAAACGATATTAACCTGACAGTTCATATCACTGGTCCGGATAATTTACGGTTGTCGTTAATAACGGTTTCCGGCAAATATGCAAATGAGCCTCTCTATCAAGTTCTGTCAGTGACATCAGTGTCTCCAGACAAAGAAAAGGGAATACCATTTTCATTAGTAATACAAGTGTGCTCTCCTCTTAATACCTCTCTGGCCAGTCTGGCGCTGATCTCATGAGGTCAAGTGACCCCTGGTCAGAACTGGACTCTGCAATGTTGTTGCAGATGGGACCACCAGATAATTGTGTTACGTCTACTTTCCTGTCAATCATTGGTCAGAGCATTATGACCAATAAAACATGGACCACAAGACACCCGTTGTCTCACTGAAACAATTTAGAGCATTTGGCACTGATCTAAGAGATGCACAAGCATCAACTACTGCCCCTTGGCAACCATTAAAGGGATACTGTTTGAGTCGGGCTTCTTTTCTGGTAATGCTAGCGGATCAATGTTGGAGCTGGTGTTATTGACTGTAAAAAAAACCGTTAACGTTTTCCTCACAAGCAGTTACACATTACGCGCTAGAAAAACAACCGAGAAGTTTGAAAGTACAGGGAACAGTTGGGGATGTCTTGAAAGTAACATGCGTTATATTTGGGATTACACTTTACAGATTCTATTACCTTACTTTACCGTTTGGAACTCGAGGAAGTCGCGGTGGCTGAATGGGTTAAATTGCTGACTTGCTGATAGTGACTCACTCTGAGAGTGTGGGTTCGAATCCCGGAAAGGACTCGATCTTACAAAAGTACTAGAATCTGTACTTTACTGGGAAAGTGTAAGGATAATACAACGTTACATTTGACCACTTTCTATTGTGCATTGTGTATTGCCTTGAAATTAGGTCCTTAATACATGGCAGTCACGCTTAACCGATACTTGTTATATCCAGACTTGAAATTATTACCTCCATATCTCTTGAAAGATAAACAGAAATATAAAGCGATATGGAAAGTAGGTTTACTTCGACATAAACAAAGAGGGGACCAACCATAGTCTGATCTTTATTTCAGAGAAGGACATAGCTGCAGAAAAAGCGTGATTGACGGTGACTTTACTTCGACATAAGCAGTAGATGGGCACAGTTGCAGTCCTGACGGTGACTTTACTTCGACATAAGCAGTAGATGGGCACAGTTGTTGCCGTGACGGTAACTTTACTTCGACGTAAGTAGTGGATAGGCACAGTTGCAGTCCTGACGGTAACTTTACTTCGACATAAGCAGTGGATGGGCACAGTTGTTGCCGTGACGGTAACTTTACTTCGACGTAAGTAGTGGATAGGCACAGTTGCAGTCCTGACGGTAACTTTACTTCGACATAAGCAGTGGATGGGCACAGTTGTAGCCTTGACGGTGAATTTACTTCGACATAAACAGTGGATGGACACAGTTGTTGCCGTGACGGTAACTTTACTTCGACATAAACTGTGGATTGGCACAGTTGTGGCCTTGACGGTGAATTTACTTCGACATAAACAGTGGATGGGCACAGTTGTGGCGATGATGACTGTACCACAGTTGCAGTTGAAGGTACTTTTACTTCGACATAAGCAGTGGATGGACACAGTTGTGGCCATGACGGTAACTTTACTTCGACATAAGCAGTGGATGGGCACAGTTGTGGCCATGACGGTGACTTTACTTCGACATAAGCAGTGGACGGACACAGTTGCAGTCCTGACGGTGACTTTACTTCGACATAAGCAGTGGATGGACACAGTTGTGGCCATGACGGTAACCTTACATACACACAGACAATGGATGGACAGAGTTTTAGTTTTGGCCGTGACCCTCAGCTGCTTTGCTATGTCCCGCACCTCACATCCTGACGGTTTAACTATAGTACTATGAAATAACCGGGTGTTCTTCTTTAAACCAATATAGATTAACTCGTAGTGCTTGTTAAGCTAAACAGAATTTATTGTGCAAGGCTGCATAAGATGTGAAGGTTTTCATGCTCACGTATATAGTGCTCCCTGCCGTTTACTCTATACACACGTTTCATACAAACAAGTCATGTTAGTGATATTAACTGGTACTAATTGGTTTGACATTTGTCTCTGAAACAATGTTTGCAGGTAGATGTATATTCCACTGAACGCCGGCTTACTAACAATTGGTGTTTTTGTTAAAGGAAATATATCGTCCAGAAAGTTTAAGTATAACTGCAATGATTCCAGCCGACATATACGTGTTTACTCAGGTGGGGTGTAAACGGTTTGTTTGACATGAGAATTCGAATTGTAAAAACACACGCTTTTTCTCTAAAGTGGCAGTAATTACTTCGCTACCGCTTGTTTTGTATAGGAGCGAACCACTTAGCTATAAGCATTCTTTGCACGCCGTGAAATCAACTGTCGGAATTAAACAGGAAATGTTTTCTGTGTGTGTGCATGTGTGCTCGTGTGTGTGCGCAAACATCTTCATCTGCACACGTGGAAATATAATAGTTGGTGCGCCCACATCTCTTTACCCCGTGAAGATCGTAGATAGAATTGGTTTTCGCCAACCCATGTTTGTCGTAAGAGGGACTAACGGGATCGGGTGGTCAGACTCAAAGACTTAGTCCATGCATGTCATCGTATTCCAATTGCATAGATCGATGCTTATTGATCTACGCAATTGGGATATGATGACATGTGTCAACCAAGTCAGGGAGCCTGACGACCAGATCCCCTTAGTCGCCTCTTACGACAAACATGGGTTGCTGAAGGCCAATTCTAATCCGGATCTTCACGGGTTACAAACATTTAGGTCTTCAATGTAATTGTAGTGAGCATGGTTTTATCCTGATTCCAACAATATTCCAACAATATCACGACGGGGGACACTAGAAATGTGCTTTACACATTGAACCCATGTGGGGAATTGAAAGACACAAATATTACGTTATGATCCCATAATGTGTATTTTAGCGGACGCATAAGACTCACCTCCGGCAATAAATCATTTAGATATTCTTTGCATTGACCATATTACCTGGAGGTATAATAAACAATGCCAATGTGCGATTTATTGTTGTTTTACCTGCAGTGCACAATGACTGTTCCGTTGTCAAGACTGTCGTATGCCCGGATCTTCTGGCGGAACAACAGCAAGGAATTGCCAAACTTTGGTACTCCGTGGTCTGGCCACGTGGTATAGTGGAACTGTTTGACGTATTTGGACTGGCTCTCCTGAAAACAAATGTTTTAAATAGAGTCACCATTCTTTAGAAAACCCAGCTGTCAACATCATATGAGTCACTGAAGTCAGAACCTACTTCTCATTGTCTTGGGTGTTTTAATGGAACAATAGTGCGCATAGTCTTAGCTCCAGTTAGATGTTTCCAAGGCACCAATTTAGTCTGCGAGGAAGACCAAGATTATGCAGGTTCAGAGTATGCAGAACTTAACGACATTCAGTGACGCAGATTGATGCGAAAGTAACAGACGAAGGAATTTTCAGGGACTAAAGGACGCAAATCTTCATGGCTAGATACAGCGCCTACAGCGATGAACCACCCAGGGATACTTCTACAAAGGCAGCTTCGAGGAATAAGGCTAAAATCTCCAAAATCCACCATGTCTCCACCTCCTTAATTATTCCTGTCTGATTTAGCACAATGACGTTGTGAGTCTAGACTATGTAGATGGTAAACTTATAACAGTCGTTACAAACTAAGAATATCGTAGATTGAACGCCAGGAATTCACTTATAACACAATGATTACTCCCTTGTCTACGAATACATGTCGGGAGAAGCCTCGGGTGATACATGGGCCAGAGCTTGCACCCACAGCAATTTTGTACATAAAAATATTACAATATTATGCTTAAAAATTATGGGAAAGGGGAAGGGGATAATTGATTTTGCATATGACATGCAAGAGGGGGGTCCCACTGTGTTGTACATAAATTTAGGGGGGTGGGGTCATTCCCATTGTACATGCTTCTCCATAAAAATCATCATCATCTCCCCCTAGCCATAAATTATGAACGGTCCCTAAGGGCTAATACCACCCTCACTGAAGTTGTATTGGCTCACGATACCACAAAGAGGAACTCTAACAATACCTCTAAAGATGAAAACTCAATTAACTTGTCATAACGCAATGCAACTTTTTTCCTGACTTAATTCTAAAACCCTCAAATAATGCGCATGGTGATCAAGTTAATTACAAAACCCATTTAGATTTCAAAAGTATTTTCTCCGCATGTGGAGTTTTAGAAACGACAGTACAATGAAACATTCGGGGGTTCAACAAGCATATCTTTGCTCTCGCGCTTCCCAGCACCATATCAGCCATATTCGACATAAAATGGCTGAAATGTCAGGTTATGCAGAATAATGACTAGGGATAATAACAGTATTGTCTGACATTAAACAATTTAAAATAGTGAGTCACACTAAATTTTATTCTAGGTTAAATCTGGATGCCCCCTTGACCCGTTCTACTTGCTTGTACAGTCCAATCCTTAATTCCTGTAATCACACGCCGAACCACTATGCGCACCGATCTCCATTCATCATTCGCTGCATATGATTCGAGGTTAACATCGAGTATGGAGTAACATAAAATTTCATCTAAATTATATTGTTATAAATAATTTTAGGAGATAATTGATGAAGTTAGTCATACACATTTAGCAGAGAGTTTTCAGTCTCACAAGGGATCTTAAATGAAAGGCTCTTCAGAGATTTTAAAACCTGAGGTAATTCAGGCACCGCAGTTCGTGGTGCAGGCCAAAACTCTGAGTGACTGCATCAGATATAAAGAGTGAGTGAGTGAATTTAGTTTTAAGCAGCTTTTACCAATATTCCAGTAATATCACGGTGGGGACACGAAGAATGAGCTTCTGACATTGTACCCATGTTGGGAATCGAACCCGGATCTTCGGCGCGAGGAGCCAACGCTTTACCCACTGGGCTACTCCACCGCTCCCGCCATGATGTAACGGGAATGATTTTCAAAGCGGCATTAAATCCAACTCACTCACTCACCCAGAGGCGACAATAACCTTTCTGGTAAAAACATATTTTTGATTACTGTCGAGTTACCCACTAAGCGTCAGTTCTACACACCTGCGAGTATCGTAGAATGAACTCACAAAACACAAAGACACTATACAACAATATATCCCAGCAGCCCCTGGGGACTACCACTTATTATTCAGTATGTCAACCTAGAGAAACATGTCTACGACCCAAGTTGAAAGAAACAACAGTAATTCCATAAAATACACATCCTGTTTCCATAAAAGTCATAACTCGAAGGGTGTTATTAGATTTACTCTAAAACAAATTCTCATGTGGAAATGTACCGGTATCCTAATTACTAAACTTGATATTCGTTATTTTTGAGTGCTGCCAGTTGAGGTATGTATGACCAAAATACTCTTTCCGTACAAAACTAGTATGTGATCATTTTGACATGTTATTAATACAAGAAAGTACCAATTGTACTCGCATTTGGCTATTCTTGACACGAACCAACATCTACTGATGCCCAAGTGACTTTAAAAGACCATACGTAGTAAAATTGCCACATGGTGAAATGACAAAATAAAACTGATTATATAATTATCTTAGAAAATAGAGTTGTTGTTCAAAACTTCAATTTTTATTAATTTTTCTCAATTTTTATTTTTGTAGTCATGTAATCAAGCGTCAAAAATATTTGTTTTTGATTTGTCAGAAGCGCATCAAATTTTGTTACACTTTATGGAAATATTGGTGTGAAGTTATTCAACGAATAGTTACTACGACGAAAGAAGCAACGCTTACCTTGGACAGCAGGAACGTCCTGACGATGAAATCAGGCAGTATATCGGTGCCGAGGAGTTGTACCGATATACATCCATATTGCTCGCATCCATCGTCAGGCCAATATTGCTCACATTTTTTCTGAAAATACAATATGAATTCTTAACTGAATATTAATAAAATTTACACATCACAATTAAAAAGTGCAAAACTAATGTTAATTTTCTATTTTAACCTTATTTTATGGCTCGTGTGCTTCAAGTAGGGCTGGGACGGTAACCCGGATACCCAGGCCGGGTGGGTAATGAGTTGGACCCGGGTAACCGTCTCAATACCCGGACCCGTTATGACTTTTTCCCCAAATGATTAAATAACGTAATTATGTCATTCTTTCATGATTAAAATGTTGTATTGTCTTTGAAGATATAGACATGATTTACCTGTTTTGAATATAATACATGGTTAAAATATTGAAAAATTTTAGCCTCCGAACTGAAGAATATATTGCCATTTCTTACAAATTTGATATCAGGAAATAACATAACGGGTATCTGGGTAGGGTCGGGTGATAGAAGATGGGGTACCCGGGAAGAAATTTGGACCAGTCCCGGCCCTAGCTTCAAGTTCATGTGTTAGGCTAGACAAACCATTGACTGATATTCTGAACAACGCTCCCTTAAGTCGGGTTATGATGACACGCAGTCGGTCAGGTCACCGAGCCGGACCAATTAACAGATATTACTTAAGTCGTAGCGTTTGACCACCAGTAGGTTCTAGGTACTTATATAAGTCTACAGGTTGAATGGGAACACATCAAGACTTCAAGACAGGAAGTAAACCTGTGGGGAATCAAGCCCGTGTCTTAGGCACGACGAGCTTCGCTTTACCAACTAAGCGTTGACATGGACAGACCTGAGCCGACATGTTCTCAGGTAGAAACGTGAAGCCTATTCACTATCATTCATGGTTCACGGACACAGATTACATGTGTTTGTTCACAATCCAGAGAACCACAGCAAAACAATCTATGCAACTCAGATGATCTGTTTCAACCAAGTCAGCGAGTCTGACCACCCGATCCCGTTAGTCGCCTCTTACGACCATCATTGGTTGACAAAAATAATAACACTCACATGCATGCAGCTGTTCAACAGCTGGTCAAGATGTGTATATCACGAACGTAATAATGATCAACACTACCATCATGATAATCGTCTTACCTTCCCAGTCTCTGTAGCGTTGGTCAACATAATCAGTGTTTTGGAATTTTCCTGCCACACCATCCGCCATATATCATTAATGGTTGGTTTTATTGGTCCTGTGGGATAAAGACAGTTTGTGAGAACATGTTGTTTTAAGCCGCAGTCGGCAATATGACATCTTTATCACGACTGACTGACTGACTGAGTATGGTTTTACGCCGCTTTTAGCAATATTCCAGCAACATCACGGCGGGGGACACCAGAAATGGGCTTCACACATTGTACCCATGTGGGGATTCGAACCCGGGTCTTCGGCGTGACGAGCCAACGCTTTAACCACTAGGCTACCCCACCGCCCCCTTTATCACGAAAGCAACTGAGCGAAAGTTGCATTATATGACAGTCTTATGACAATGTTATGGCTATATCAGATGAGGAAGTTGAAACACTGCTGCTCTATGCTACAGTTAGCGATATTACGCTCGCGTGTTAATAATCGAAACTGGACCGAAACCGGTGATTGAAAGTAGGAACAACGGGGCACGATGAATTCACAATCAGACATGACGCAGAGCCTCAACTGTAATGGTCTCACAGGAAAAGCATGAGATACAGGATAACCTTTCTGGAACGGATTCATAATCTTTTCTCAGATGAATAACCAAACTTTTTGACGTAACACTTAAGTTCGCATGGCGTGTTTTTATTCAGTTAAAATATTGCCTTGCCTTGACATGTGTTTGTGACAAGTACCATCGGCGAGACAGGATATAATTACCTTTTCGCGAACACCCGGTGCCACCACGAATTGATAGTTATTCACACACACATGCTTATGATACAACCGTGATTGAACGAGAGATTCTTTTGATTATGTTCTCTTGCTGTGAACGCGGTGTAGCGAAACCTTTAGGCAAACGTTTCACTGTCCGTTAGTACGTCCGTTAAATTCATTAATCTCCGATAAGACATCTGTTATAAGATATGAAGAAACTGTACACCTACCTTGTGCTGCTATGTATGCTCTAGGTTTATGATATCCCTGCAAAACAAAGCAAAATGTGGCACAGGTGCTATTTCCCAAACCAACTCTGAATACGACTCGAAGGGCATCTCAAGTCATGGTTTTTAAAGGTGATATTGATGATGACGGGATCAACATTATAATCAGTTTATTAACATCTTGAAACTTTATCTGTCTCACTCCTTGGGATTCCTAAAAACAAACACTGAGCCAAATAAAGTGAAACCCCGATAATATGATCGTCCAGATTAGCGAGTTTTGTACTCAGTTGGAATGTTTATATTGGGGAAAATCTTTTGCTGTGGGGCTTGGGCCACCTCAACAGTGCATAACGGTATTTCGGTTATATGGCTGAAGAAATAAAAAATGTGAACTTACAGGTCGTACCATTTTTATGCCGCCCATCACACGTTTAATGCCATCACATGAAGGAACTGGATTGGTAAGAATCTTACATTCGAACCTATTCTACATAGCAAAGGGAGGGAACTCTGAACAGACTATTGTCGAGCTCCAGTATTAAAAAACTGGAAATATTTTGTATGTAATCCTGTATATACCTATATACTTACATCTATATAATTGGCATTAATATAATCATCTGTGGGGTCGTCTCCTTCCAACTCCAGCACCACGCGAGAGTGATCATCTGGAAATACACATGAGATAAAGCTGTACGGATGATTCAACAATGTATACTCGCCTGGTGTTTTAATAACGTATTGAGTCTAGACATATTCGACTGACACATCAATCAAACGGAATATTTTGGCGGGGACAAATTTGTCTCAGACATGATTCACGACCAAGTCACCCGTTGACGACAGAAAAGGTCCTTCGTGAATCCAAAATTGTTTCGATTATGCTAAGACTAGAACCCCCATCATGAATTATTGGTAAAAGTCTAACTGTCCAAAAATCTACCACAATTATGTCCAATCAGCTAGATGTTGTAAAACGAGCGAAGACAACACCTCGCAACCATACCAATCAGTGATTATCTGGTTCCACTGGACTATGTGGATCGGGTGATCAGACTCGGTGACTTGGTTGACACAAGTCATCGTATCCCTATTGCTCTCGATGCCCATGCTGTTGATCACTGAATTGTCTGGTCCAGACTCGATTATTTACAGACCGCTGCTATATTGCCGAGTGCGGCGTTAAACACAAAACAAATCATGTCCACTGTCTAAAACAAACCTTGTACAACACTATTGATCTTTTGTATTTTTAGTAAGGTATTTTTAGTAATATGAGTGATATGATCCTAATGACGAAAGTCACGCGTACTCATAGGGATACATGCAGACTGGGTGTCTGTACCATTATAAGCCTGATTCTTATAATGGGCATTGTTTCATGAAGCGCAGCAAATAAGTCGCTTATCCGGTCAGAGATAACATCATAACAGTAAAGTTTTGGATTTCAGCTGTCGTTGTGTTGTTCGTCTGTTGTTTATCGCCGCCCTAGGCGATATTCCAGCTTTATCATGTCGTCAGGTAAATAATCGAGTCTAGACGAGAGAATGAAATAATTGACATCACGAACATCCATCTATGTAATTGGGAACACAATGTAGATGACCACCCGATCCCGTTAGTCACATCATGCGACAATCATCGGTGTTGCTGGAGCCCTATTCTGACCTTTATCTTCACGGTGTCTTGAATCATGTGAGTTAGTGAGTGAGTGAGTGAATTTAATCCCGTTTTAGGCAGTATTCCATTTATATCACAGCGTGTATGGGAGGAGTGAGTGAGTGAGTTTAGTTTTACGCCGCTTCTAGCAATATTCCAGCAATATCACGGCGAGGGACATCAGAAATGGGCTTCACATATTGTACCCATGTGGAAACTGAACCGGGCCTTCGACATGGCGAGCGAACGCTTTAACCACTGGGCTACCTCCTTTAACTATGGGAGGAAATTCCCAAGTTGGACATCTGGTCAGTTAATAAATTAAGCATTATTGCAGCCCACGTGTGCGGTCCTGACAAACCAAGAACGATAATCGGGGCGAAACCGGAAACAAATCCTCGATGACACGTTTCTCGCTTGCCCAAGGGGCGCAACTCTGCACAGCCAATTGTAGCCACCCCGTGCCCTTCTCAAGTTACCTAGTCATATACATCAATGTCAGAATTATGCTGTAAGCAATACCATGGATATGCTATTATAATAAAAGTCTTTACTGCAATCATTTAGGATTGGCTATAACCAATGACACATGAGTTCCACGTAACAGTGATAAAATCCATTCAGTCCATGATTTAGCCTCATAATTTAGTACCAGATCTGACATTAATGATGCGTCAAAACACCCTTATCAGTTAATCTGATACCCTATCAAAACCATCCTTCTATTATGGAACTGACGTTAAACAGACAGTCTATAATATGATACCCTCTACAAAACGGAACTCCCCTAATGGAAATCTCTCTTAACTTACAGTCACATCCCTACAATCTCGACCCCATGGCATACAATGTAAATCATACAACGTTAAAATCCAACTCACAACAACTATAGCTGAATAATAATGTCTGTATAGGTCCGAATTACAGTTCCTCAGAAACCCATGTAGGCTAAGGTTTAGTCCCTTGGAGAGGCATTTTAGAAGTTGTGAAGATGAAGGAAAACTATCCATAGAACTTAGTTTTCCCCTTAAGGTTTAGTGCCTGAATATATATTATTTTGATAGAAACAAATAGTGAAAAGGAGCTCCAGTGAAATGGAAGATTTTGAACGTGATGAAATCTAGATTGCTTCATTTAGGGCTTCAGCATTGCAGAAAGGACTGAGCGGAAGGGCAGATAATACGGTTCAGGGACTGAGAGACTGACTACTTGATCAGCTTATAACGTTGGACAAATCCCTCTTGTTTAGCCATACAAAGATTGGTGGCGTCACGACGTCTCTTTATCGGCATTGGGGTAAACAAAAAATATCTAACTTTCAATCCCATGGAAACTGTGTATAAAAACAGGGCATTATTGAGAGCAAACAATTCTCCATTAATTTGTCCAAAGAACACAGAGACGGTTAGACATATTTGAACAAGTTGAAATTAAAAGATGCACAAAGATTTACAAATTATTGCCATAACCAGTTCAGTCGAACGAGTTATGATGTTTTAAAGAACACAGTGTCAACAACAAGAAAACTGATCCGTTTCCTTCGCCTTCAAGTCCTGCAAGTCTAACAGAAATGCTACGGTAATACAACATTAAATAGTCAATTTGAGACCTCAGAAACTGAAATCCTCTACTCCGTATGGTATACATCCCCATGACGTTAAGACCATTGTTAATGTGACCCTGCGACGTCTACCCGGAAACTGGTCTCACATTCAGCATCCTCAACAGAGGGATGACAACACTGCACTTACAGGCTATGATGTTTCCATATCTATTTTTGGGCTTATTTTCCGTTCTTTTTGCAACCTCGCAGCCCGCAGTCAGACCCGGTGGTATAAGCTGAAGAGAAAATAAATCACAAATAAGAGGTGAGGTGAAATTGGGTTTAACGTCGTGCTTGAGAATATGACGAAGTGCGTGCGTGTGTATGTGTATGTACGGCTGCTTGTACTAGCCCAGACTTAAGCTGGCTTTATAGTGCTAGCCCACTGAGATACCATGCCGCAGTGAAGCATGAATACCCCACTCAGACACATTATACTGACGAGGTCGGGGATCGAACCCGCGACCTTCCGCTCTCCAGGCGGACGCTCTAAAAACTACACCACGGAGGCGGTCTCCAATAAGAACACTTTTTTAATTCCAATATTAAACACAGTAGTTTACTTTACAAAATCTGTTTTAAGCTAAAACCAATTTGATTAATTTGTATGTTTTGAAAAACTTTTATCTCAAATTCATAGTAATTACATGTTTTTTTTTGTTTCATGTTAAACGTCACAGTCAGCAATATTTCAGCTACGAGACTACGCCGACGGGTGGAAAGGCAAGTAATCTTCTAAGACATCGTGTCTCACCACCTGATCCATTAGTTCGACAATCATAGGCTGCTGGGGACCAATCTGGATTAGTCTCCCCACTATTTCACTGATATTACAGGACCAGCTGTTACAGTGATCAGGTTCAACATCTGATTAAGACGTCTTACAGATCATCACATGCTTTAGGGCTGGTTTAATCAACGTCAACTGAAGCTTCGGAAATGGGCCTCAAAACCTTTATGTATCAGGAAGGTGAATCTGAACCTTCGGAAATGGGCCTCACAAGCTCTACTTATTGGGAAGATGAATCTGAAGTCTCGGACCTCACAAGCTCTACTTATCAAGATGAATCTGAAGCTTCAAAAATGGACCTCACAAGCTCTACTTATCAAGTTGAATCTGAACCTTCGGAAATGGGCCTCACAAGCTCTACTTATTAAGAATTTGAATCTGAAACTTCAGAAATGGGCCCCACAAGCTCTACTTATCAAGATGAATCTGAAACTTCAGAAATGGGCCCCACAAGCTCTACTTATCAAGATGAATCTGAAGCTTCAAAAATGGACCTCACAAGCTCTACTTATCAAGTTGAATCTGAACCTTCGGAAATGGGCCTCACAAGCTCTACTTATTAAGAAGTTGAATCTGAAGGTTCAGAAATGGGCCTCACAAGCTCTACGTATAGGACAGTTGAATCTAAAGGTTCAGAAATGGGCCTCACAAATTCTATTTATTGGGAAGATGAATCTGAAGCTTCAGAAATGGGCCTCACAAGCTCTACTTATTGAGAAGTTGAATCTGAAACTTCAGAAATGGGCCTCACAAGCTCTACTTATTAAGAAGTTGAATCTGAAACTTCAGAAATGGGCCCCACAAGTTCTACTTATCAAGATGAATCTGAAGCTTCAAAAATGGACCTCACAAGCTCTACTTATTAAGTTGAATGAATCTGAAACTTCTTATTACAGAAATGGGAAACTTCACAAGCTCTACTTATTAAGAAGTTGAATCTGAAACTTCAGAAATGGGCCCCACAAGCTCTACTTATCAAGATGAATCTGAAGCTTCAAAAATGGACCTCACAAGCTCTACTTATCAAGTTGAATCTGAACCTCGGAAATGGGCCCCACAAGCTCTACTTATTAAGAAGTTGAATCTGAAACTTCAGAAATGGGCCCCACAAGCTCTACTTATTAAGAAGATGAATCTGAAGCTTCAAAAATGGACCTCACAAGCTCTACTTATCAAGAGATGAATCTGAAGCTTCAAAATGGACTGACAAGCTCTACTTATCAAGAAGATGAATCTGAACCTTCAGAAATGGGCCTCACAAGCTCTACTTATTAAGAAGTTGAATCTGAAACTTCAGAAATGGACCTCACAAGCTCTACTTATTGGGAAGATGAATCTGAAACTTCAGAAATGGCCCCACAAGCTCTACTTATTGGGAAGATGAATCTGAAGGTTCAGAAATGGGCCTCACAAGCTCTACTTATTGGGAAGTTGAATCTGAAGCTTCAGAAATGGACCTCACAAGCTCTACTTATCAAGAAGATGAATCTGAAGGTTCAAAATGGGCCTCACAAGCTCTACTTATCAAGAAGATGAAATCTGAAGCTTCAGAAATGGACCTCACAAGCTCTACTGAAGCCCCACAAGCTCTACTTATCAAGATGGGAAATGGATGAATCTGAAACTTCAGAAATGGGGGCCCTCACAAGCTCTACTTATTGGGAAGATGAATCTGAAGCTTCAAAAATGGGCTTGACAAGCTCTACGTACGGGAACACTGAATCTGAAACTTCAGAAATCGACCTCACAAGCTCTACTTATCAAGTTGAATCTGAAGCTTCAAAAATGGGCTTCACAAGCTCTACGTATAGGAAAGTTAAATCTGAAACTTCAGGAATGGGCCTCACAAACTCTACTTATCGGGAAGTTGAATCTGAAGCTTCAAAAATGGGTTTAACAAAGTCATCATTTCTGGGGTGGTACCCGAAGCTTCAGAAGTTGGTTTCATCATCAGTGAGGCACTGAACTTGACGTTTAAGGAATATGTTTAGCATTCCTCATATTGAACATGGTCATTTCATGGTCATTTTTATTCTAAAAGCGGCTATCCGCGTTCTATAAACCACTGTCATTTGGATTATATATGTTTGTGAATTATAGATTTATAGGTTTGGCAGATCTTTAACATAACAGAATGTAATGCCTCGTTCAGAGATAAGCTTCCACATCATGTCTAAAATACAGGCTTTCCGACTGACCACAAGCACTACACGAGAAAATGCATGTGGACAATCGAATGGACATGCGTAGACAACAACTAGTCTCTGAAATGAACATTTTTTACAGAAAAAAAGTTCACAGTGAAAAAAAATAAATATAAATGTAATGAAAAGGAGCCCTGAGACTTTGTTCATTTTCAGAGACTGAAGCTGTGGAAATCTAGGTTGCCACATTTTCTAGACTTGCGTGGACTTTCTTGGATATATTTGCTTCAGGGTCTGTATGGCAGACTAGGACATGCTGTAAGTTTTAAATACTTGTCTGTTGTAAGTTTCCGTACATTGGTCGGCATCTCCAAGTAGTCTTTACCTTATATTCTCTTTTTAAGCCATCATAATCGTTCTCCTTGCTTCCCCCGGATGTAGTCCCATAAATCTTCTACTTTGATGGGTGGAATCGTGATATTTCCGACATTTCCATAAATGGGCTCAGACTCGAGATCGTTATCTATAGATGGAAGAATGAGAGGTTCTGCCTCAATGTTAATTGTACCTGAAAGTAAACAAAAACATATGCGTTATCACAATATTGAGTGGCAAAAAAAAGACCAGGCTGAAAATATGTTTTGAAGAAACCCAACCCATTCTAATAAGCCGTATTCGTTTATGAATAAAAACGTAATAACACGTCAATGGGTGTTTGTCAAACAGTTACCAGTATCGCATGAAATCGAAGACATAAAATGTCATGAATTTAAGAAATATAATCGATCGATTAGATAGGAAGACTGAAGAATGCATGCTTCATCGCGAGAAGAAAAAGAGGAAGTGCTTCAAGTGATGCTCATGGCCACCAAAGGAACACACAAGTAGAAGTTTAAAACAACGCCAAACATAAAGGTATGCGAGAATGGTGCGAGGATGACGTATGCATGACATCATACATGACGTCACAGAAATCAGTGTATAAAGCTGCTTCTGCTAACTACCATAACATGTGAAAGGAGACAGTACAGCGTTCTGAAAAAGGAGAATATCTTTAATTTAATTGTTTGATACAGAGACAAATTGCTCCAACTCTGTCTGATGGAGATGCCACCTTGACAAACTCCTAAACCACGACCGGATCCCGACACGGCGAAGGGTCGTAACTCTTCACAGATCTTCATACCGTTGGGTAATTCCCTCAGTTACAATAAGTAAACGTATTTCTAACTTTTGACAGAAGCTCAATAATGTCAACTCTTGCATATAACTGACTGGGCAACCCCCCTCATTCCTAACCAAAGAAGACTTAACGCAACGCTCCAGGGCGCACAACACTTCAGAGCACACAACACATAAAACCACACCGACACTTACCTAGACATAAACATGCGTCGGTGTCTCGGGATGCGGAAGTCAATGAAAAATGTGCTTTAATGTTCAGTAAAAACAGAAGTACGGATACACCACAGACATACAACATCATGTTAACAAACTCAGTGTTAAGATGTTAAGATTGATACCGGATGAAGGGAACAGTGTTAAATATCCACATCAATGCACTGTACGATGAAAACTGGGAGACGGTCTTATATTAAGAAAGGCAACATATGCACTGGTCACAAAAGCAAGGTGAAGCCAAAGTGTGCCAAAAAGTGTTAAAGAGGAATCATTAAAAGCTTGTGATGCGCAGCATAGAGGAAATCCTTGTTAAAAACTGATTTAATAAAAACCGTTCAATGACTTCCTTACTTTGTTAGCAGCTTACAGTGAGTTCACATGAGGAATACATTGAATAGAGGACATATGAGAGAAACAGAATTAAATTACAACCAAAACGGTTTGGGTTCGTAACATATTCGTAACTCCAATCGTAACTTAAAAATGCTGATACGACGTAAAAACTTAACTCACTCACTTAATCGTAACTTATATAGTAATTACGCACGAACGTAACTTAACGTGCAAAACATCCAATTTATATAATCATTACTTATTCGGATTGAAAAATGTTGAAAGGATAGTTACTTCCGACTATTACTGTAAATAATATGATTACTATTACCTAAATATATTTTGAATACACAGCGAACATCACCCAAACGGTTTAAAATCATTATATCAACAAACTAATTGTTTCATAGCCTTATAATAAATACTGTCTTATTGTCTGATTAAGGCTTTATTTCATCAAATGTGGTTGATGCACATGCGCAATATTGCAAACGAAGGTTGAATTGTTTGCGTAAACAAAATTGCAGACTTGTGCAACTGAAGGTGATTAGCGCCTCGAATCGGCACCGAAACATGAAGATATTTCGAAAAGGAAAGACTCACCCAAACTAAACTTAGTGTAGAAACCTCCTAGACGCATGAAAATAACAAGAATCGTTACAAGATGGCGCTGGTTGTTGTCAATAAACGAATTACTGGTTTCGTGTTAATGGAACTGTTTGATGATATTTTATTATACAGTGTTAGGGTTGTTAGTTACTATAAATAGTAAGAGAGTCACGTGATTGTACTGACCAATGGGAGTGGGCGGAGGAGACGTATCCGGTTCCGGTAATATAGTTGGGCCAAATGATGGCAGATCTGACTTCTCTCTCTCCGCTGACAGATGACGTTTTCTGGAAACAAATGGACCCAGTGCATGAATTAACTTTGAAAAGTCACTGGCCAGGATGATTAGTTAAGTAAGAATGTTACTAGCCCACATCACACTTCACTGGCCCTGATAAATATCGCTATCGAGATGCACATCGGTCAGAATTGATGTGATGTTTGGTAATTGAAGATGTTAAAACGTTACATTTGTATTGTAATGGTTCCATAACCTCTTTTGCGCAACGCTATTAACATGTTTATATAGCCATCTAAGAGATCTAAATATCACGAAACTTTTGCGGACGGACTTTTAACACCTTAATAATTGACTTCATCACATTCACGTGCATCAAATACAGAACAAATTATCTGAGATTTTCAGCTAGCCACTCGGGATAGCTTTAACAATATATTACAGGCCCGATTCACAATCAGCAAGCATTTGGCTAGCGGGCCAGTACCTATTTCTAACGCTGAATGAACCATTAATTTTAGTTCCCTGTAACCATAGTTCGTTGTGGGCATTTGGACTGAAACTGCAGCGATCATGGGTCCAACAAGCAGTTCGTTATATCCGTTAGTTCGTTATATCCGTCAGTTCGTTATATCTATCCGTCAGTTCGTTATATCCGTCAGTTCGTTATATCCATCAGTTCGTTATATCCGTCAGTTCGTTATATCCGTCAGTTTGTTATAAGCGCGTTCGTTGTATGCGTAGTTCATTTTATATAAGTGTTAAAAGCAGCAAATATATACTGCAGTCGCTAACGCCGATAGATATATGCCGTTTTACAGACTCAGAGGTTTGAAATAATGATTAGACCAATAAAACATTATTAGATTATCCAAATCAAACAGGAATGAAACGCTCATGTCCCCTGCCAATGGAATGGTCTTTTGTCTGCTTGATTCAAGCACCTGACTAATATCGCTGTCTGGGACTTGTTCCGAAGTGTCAATGGCACTTAATCAAAAATTGATTAACACGCTGTCAGCTGACAGCGGCCTTCAACCATCACAGAAGAACGGTGTTACTTTGAGAAAATCATTGCGAGCAGTGGTAAAATGACAAAAAATATCAAATAAAAAAAGAAGAAAAAATACACGAAAAAGACAACAAGAGACCACTTGATTGATTTGTGAGGAATTACAGCTAGGTCATCAAAGGTTCATTGACTGTAGTTGGTTGTCATGAAAACCGACAATAAAAAGATCCGAAACAACTAAGTAGCAAATGGCTCCGGTTCATGACTACATTGATACAAGTGCAATATCTGATTGAAGTGGAGACGAAAGGTACCATATCGCCCTGTCATGTATCATAATATCATAATTATTATTATAACAAATCGTATGAGAGATAAACATACAAAACGACAAAAAATAAAATACGAAACTAAAATGTGAATGACAAGTATTGATACGAAACTATATTGTTGTGTAAAAACGTACCTCCACACCATCAACAAGACAGCGAAGGTTATGATGAGGAGGATGAAGACGACGAGGACGCCGATGATGACGGGGACATGGCTGGTCTGGGGTGCCGCCTTTACAGGTCGAACTGAAACAGAAACTCCGTCATCAGGTTCCATTTATAACGCAAAACTTAAAAACGAAAACAAGAAGACAAAGTCATCAATATCCACCGCAATGGCAAAATACTCTTCATGATTATGTCTACGGTTTATGATTATGTCAAATATTTAGGTGTGTATATAGACAAGTGGAAGGAGAGTATTGAAAGGTTTTTAAAGTTTTGCTCCAGAAAGGAGCACTATCACCAATTTCAGTCTATGTCAAACTTGTTGCCATGGAAATGCCAAAAATATTTTATTCAGAAATCCAAAACTACCAAAAGGCACCAGTACACCACCAGATCTATCTATGTGCCAAGTTTGGTGAAGAAACATTGAACGGTTTTTTGAGTTCTGCTCCGGAAAATGGCACTACCACCAATTTCAGTCTTAGTCGAATTTGTTGCCATGGAAACGCCAAAAATATTTTATTCAGAATTCCAAACTACTAAAAGGCACCAGTACACCACCAGATCTATCTATGTGCCAAGTTTGGTGAAGAAACATTGAACGGTTTTAGAGTTCTGCTCCGGAAAAGAGCACTACCACTAATTTCAGTCTATGTCAAACTTGTTGCCATGGAAATGCCAAAAATATTTTATTCAGAATTCCAAAACTACCAAAAGGCACCAGTACACCACCAGATCTATCTATGTGCCAAGTTTGGTGAAGAAATGTTGAGCGGTTTTAGAGTTCTGCTCCGGAAAAGACAAATGTGCACGGAGTACGGACGGACGGACGCACGCACGCACGCACGCACACACGGACGGAATCCATTTTAATACCCAATAATTATTGGATCCTGAGAGTCCTCTTCCTTGTGGTAAAAATGATGATCTGGTGATAGTAGCTGTTGAGTTATCGCCCCTTTGAACAGTATTCACGTTTCAGCTTGAGTGAGTTTAGTTTTACGCCGCTTTTAGCAATAATCAAGCAATATTACGGCGGGCGGACACCAGACATGGGCTTCACACATTGTGCCCTTGTGGGGAAACGAACCCGGGTCTTCAGCGTGACGAGCGAACGCTTTAACCACTTGGCTACCGCCCCGCCCCTAAAGTTGGAAGAAAACCCGCGAGGTTGGTGCTGGAGTTTTGCCGCTTAGGGTTAAACCCAGAGGTATGAGGGTTAACGAATCTAGAAACATTATTAGTGCCAATCGGGATTCGAACCCATTTCATGGATTTATGCCAATCGACACAGCAAATACCCGTTCCCATAGCTTACATGTGTCAGTTGCAGGAATATATTTTCTGATTTATCAGAGTCAGCAGTTGTGCAATACAAGTAAACAGTATATATTTCTGATTGTCCCTCGGAGAAATATATATTCACCAAAGAGAGCAACAACAACAGGGTAAACACCGTATATGAAATAAACAATTGTTGACGCTGCGATAGAATTATTGTCACAAGTAAATATAAGGTGAGCTAAACTTCAGAAATGTGCAGTCTTAATACTGCAAATTGATGTACCATCGGCTGACCAACCTGTACCACCTGCTGATCAACTAGTAAATATACGACCTACTTTTTTGTAATGACGCCTATAAGTATACGCACTACGATATCAACTTTTAGTAGAGCTCGCAAGACTGAAATGTACACCAAAAATAGCCTTAATATACCCTACGGATAACCACTACCACGCGCAATGTACATAGTGAAATGAAACCCAGATTACGTCAATCTGAGATAGCAGTTCACGCAACACAGCCCAACCAAACACCGCTCATATGTAGGAGAGCTTGCTTCCATGGAGACAGTAATCACGGTTTGTCAAATTTCGTCTTCCGACCCTTCCCTCCGCTGAGCACAACAATCTGACGGGTTTGTCTTGCGTCCGCCTCGCTGCCGTGAGGAACGACTTCCAACACCGAACGACGTCGTTGCTTGGCTATATATGTCTTCGACACAATCACCAGAGAGCTTAAGCATGAAAAACGTGATGAGGTCCTGCGGGTACAGTCAACCAAAGTGATATGCGATTTGGATTGCAGTGTACCTGTTTTTTAGGCATGCCGTGAATTGGGTCCAATAAGGTCATGGAGTCAAGTTTCCGAGTTGATATTCGCTGTACTCAAGTTGAGAAAGATCTCGATAATAATCAGGTTGTAAAATTCCAAATTTGATAATCACATGAACGATGTCTCATGATATTGGCTTCGACTTTGATATTTTACAACAAATTTTGAAGTGTCGGTAATTCAGTTGGGTTTGCTTTGAACAGTATTAAAGTTAAATCACGGTTGTCTGCTAAATGTGGGAAGAAAACCCGAAGTGATAAATGTTTTTGTGTTGACCACTTTGAAACCATCGAGCACAGACATGGTGTTCACAAACCTAGAAGCTTTATCGGGAGATCGGAATTTCAAAAAACAATAATTGGTTCCTGGCGTGCCCAAGGGACTTAACACTGCAAAGCCAATTGAATACTGGGCAACTGGGTGCCTTAATTTGAGGTGTGAATGAGTGATTACTCTTTTTACAACATACAGTAATATCACAGCTAAATCAATCCGGTTTGAAAAGAATAAAACTTCGACTAGAAAAATCATTGGCAGCATGCAAGGGCAACTACCACCTCCACTAGTACATGGTGACTATTGACATCAAATGACTATGATCACTCGGTCATTGGGATCATGGGAATGTTTCATGATTACTCCAACACAAACCATAGTGAAGTGATTCCAAGTCACGATATTTCTTTTCATGGGTACAACGTGTGAATCCTACACAGTAATCAATGCTGTGATATTGCTAAAAGCGTTCTACAACCATACTCACTCACTCACTCATGTAAGCCTGGGCCCTTATTCTCGAAACGTTCGTACCCCTAAGAATTCTTAATTTTGATCGTACCCAATGTGTTAAGAATGGGCTTAAGAAGTTCGTAGGGCTACGAACGCTTCGAGAATAGCTAGCCTGGAGTGTTATGTATGTTTTGCACACATCTATGTTGTTGGCACTGTTACCTGGCAACGTGGCTAGGACGTCCAATAAACAATGTTTCTGATATTATGATCACAATTCCCGACGTCGGGTGACATTGAAACACAATCTACCAGTCACAGTGGCGACTGACCCAATCCAAGACGTAGTGGACCCGGGATCCACAGGGTCCATATCATGTTTGAATATGTCCCTGTGAGTATTCAGGATCAGAACAGGTTCCCAGCAACCCACGCTGGTCATACGATGAGACAAAATAGATCAGGTGTAAAACTGGGTGATTTGGTTGATTGCGCATCATTGTACCAACACGACGTACGATCGTTGCTCACAATATTAATCACGGGTTTGTTTGGTTCAGACTCGATTCTTCACAGGTCATAGTCATACAGGTGGAATGCTGGTGCACGCCTGAATATTTAGTATTTTTGAATTAATATAAACATTTCAATGTCCTTTCATTTTTTGTAGCTTACCTAAGACTGGTCTCTCAATCCTTGAGAATGTTTGTCTTTCGGTCTGAAAAAATCAAAAAATCACTTGTGTGAAAAGCAAAACATTAAAGCCAATAAAATGTCCACACTGTTTAACAATAAGTTAAAATGCAAAAAGTTTTAGTTTCGTGTGGTGCACTGCTGAAAAAAGGATATTGCGTAAAGGGCATGTGATTATTCTAAATTTGGCTCCAACCAAACAAATTGAATTCATTTTTCAAATATCCTGAATACTTTTCTTTTATTACAAAATTATAAATATTATAACAGAAACAATGTGTACTCACGCCATCAACAACAGAGAAGGCTCCGAACCATATATTATAAGTCTGGTCCCGCTGTAAGGGGCATTGTAATAGCCCCCGTACGTGCTGTTGTCGCCGACGACGAACTTCCCGTTAACGACATCTCTGTCGAGCTGGGCGGCGACATACACACGCGTTCCGTGGCGGCTGGCCCGTTGGTAGTCGTCTTTGATGTTAAGATGTTGGGGCGTCGAGCGTTCATGACGAAGCTTCTCATACAACAGCTCCACTATTAGCCGATAGAAACTGAAATGGACAGGGTGCCGTTAGATCAAAAGAGTTGGTGTACTGGATAGTAAATGGTGCCATACCAATTTAACCATATTTGTGTAATGGGCAATAATGGGTCATACTGTCAAGTGGCCACTGTCTACTGTTGGCTAATAGGCTGTTGGTGTATACGTGCAATCAATAACGTTACTACTACTACTACTACTACTACTACTACTAATACTACTAGTACTACTACTAGTACTTTTGGTAAAAATTTCTTTACCTTAGACTGACTGACTGAGTTTGGTTTTAGCAATAGCAATATTCCAGCAACATCACGGCGGGGGACACCAGAAATGGGCTTCATACATTGTACCCATGTGGGGAATCGAACCCGGGTCTTCGGCGTGACGAGCCAACGCTTTAACCATTAGGCTACCCCACCGCCCCTTTACCTTAGAAGTGAGTGAATGAGTTTAGTCTTTTTGCATGAGCTAATGAACGTATGAACTTAACCTCATGACTGCCGTACTTTGAACAATGTGAGTGAGTTTAGTTTTACGCCGCTTTTAGCAATATTCCAGCAATATCACAGCGGGGCTTCACACATTGTACCATTGTTGAGCATCAAACCCGGGTTGTTGGCGTGACGAGCGAACGCTTTAACCATTAGGCTACCCCACCGCCCCCTCTTTGCCTTAGAACAACGACTGCGTAGAACTAAATATCAGTAAGGAATATTCGGGTTCATTTCAATCCATCGGTACTGCTGTTGGTTTAATAATATGAGCGGAAGCCAAATTCTACATAACAGTAGATTTGGAAAATACAATGGTAAGTTCGATAAATATTGTTAAAGTTTGAGAGAATCACCTGACAGTTTGGTCCCCTGCGTCACGGAGGTCAAGGGTCACGGTGTGGTCGGAGACCTCCACGATGATTGGCTCCAAGGGTTTCATGGGATCTACAATGCATCATGGGTACATTACTAAACTGTCATACAAATCCATGTCTTTTTTTTTTTTAAACCCTGATCACTCGTTGCAGTCAACAATGTTTTGTACACTGTATTTTTTTACAGTTGTGGAAAAAAAATTTGTCCCACAAATATCACACATTACAAATTCCATTGTATCTCAAATTCACAATCAGTGGTGTCACCGACTTCAGCGCTTTCCTCTTTATGACGCAAAGCATCATATCGTGTCTTAATTAGTAAGTGAATGTGCTTAGTTTTACGCCGCTTTTAGCAATATTCCAGCAATATCATGGCGGGAACACCAGAAATGGGCTTCACACATTGTACCCATGTGGGAAATCGAACCCGGGACTTTGGCGTGACGAGCGAACGCTTTAACCACCAGGTTACCCCACCGCCCTCGTGTTTTAATGATAGCTTACCCGGCGCATCTGTCCAGACAGTTACTCGAGCTTCAGCTCCTGGTCCCTTCACCGTGCTGGCGTTAACTGCGCATGCGTACTGAGTAGCAGGACGTAACCTTTCCATCTTGTATTCATAAGTGTCCACCGGCAGTGTAATTGCTCTTTTGTCGTCATTGTAACTTCTCTTCAAGAGGGATGTAATTGGCTTGCACGACACCTGCGGGAGAGAACTCGTGAGATGACATAAGGATATTTACAGGATGTTCCAAGACAATTCTCAGTCAGCCTCCAATCACGTGACACGCAAGTCTCATTCTCAACTGGGGATATTGATACTTGGTTCTGCATGATGTTTAACGCTGCATAAAGTATATACTATCTTCATGACGGATATCTGTAAATAATGGAATCTGGACGAGAAAATCCAGTGGTTGATAGTATGAGTATGAGTATCAACCTTGTCACTAATCCATATTACCAGATGTATTCAGACGCTCTTGCTACAAACGAGGATGCCGTGAATCTCTGTTCTAATAGAGTCCCTACATGTTTAGGTGTGATGTTCTTAAAGGGCACACTAAATAGGGACCTTTCGATGGATAGCATCGCAAATGTATTATCATTGATAACATTATCATTAACCTTTAAACATGCATCTTCAAATAATAATTAAACAAAGTTATTTTATCATACTTCAGCTACCATAACAGCGGACATTACAACATTAAGGTTCAAACAAAAATCTTATTCTACACGAACCGATTTATAAAAGATCAAACTTGACCTTTGACCGAGATCTTACACAGGCATCGAAAGCTTAAGTAGATGGCGAGGAAAACCGCCTGCAGCGTTGTGAACGTTAATCGAAAAACAGCATAATGACGTAGCTTCTAACATCTCCATGGAACCAGTAAATAAACCAATTTCCTACTCTAGGACACACACCAACAGGACATCAAAGTCAGCGTCCTAAAAGCATTGACGTTTTAACACACTTACCGTGAAGTAGCGCAGCTCGCCATTAAAGTCAAGAGGCCGGTCCCACCTGAGGTGTATTGACGTCGTGGTACGTGACACGTTCCTCAATACTCGGACAGGACCTGGAACTGGAAGCGGGAAGACTGAGTGAAGTGGCGTTCTGCTTCAAGAGAAACTTTTAAAGACCTTTTCAAATAGTCTGTAGCTTGTGAACTTGACCGTGCGAAGGCTTTGATATTGCATCTACTTTAAGTCCCGACTGATGTCCGTTACGTGATTCCATTTCAAAATGGCATTTCACGACGTCTCGTGTTAACAGCTGAACCTCAGCAGGAACGAATCCCCCATCCCTCTAGACGTTTAGTTTTACGCCGCACTCAGCAATACTCCAGCTATATGGCGGCGGTCTGTAAATAATCGAGTCTGGACCAGACAATCCAGTGATCAACATCATGAGCGAAAGTGTACAGATGTTTAGCAATGATTAGATTAAGTTTTTATAAAATGGTAAAACATATAAGCTTTGTTAACGATGTTTTACTGTGTTTTAGCAATATATCCACAATGCCACGGGGACACCAGAAATAAACTTTACATCCATGTGGGGAATCGAACCTGAGTCTTTGGTGTGACAAGGGACAGCAGCATTCTCCACAAGGCCACCAAACCCTTACAAACAGTCTGAAGTCTCTGAACATTTTACCGCAATAGGGTATATGTATTCCAGTCTCCATCAGTTCCGAAATCCCCGTTGATACTTTCTCTGATTGCAAAGATATTATCCTACACAATTCAAAATTTTCAATCGGAGAAATGTCAAAACTTATAAATGAATTCCTTTAATATGTATGGCAGAAAAGCAATAATTCCGAATTTGATTTACAAACCTCTTTTTTGCATGAGCTAATGAATGTCTGAACAGTCGTTGAACTTAACCTCATGACTGCCGTACTTTGAACATCGTCTTCATCGAAATGTGAGTGAGTTTAGTTTTACGCCGCTTTTAGCAATATTCAAGCAATATTACGTCGGGGGACACCAGAAATGGCCTGGACTTCACACATTGTACCCATGTGGAGAATCGAACCCGGGTCTTCGGCGTGGCGAGCGAACGCTTTAACCACTAGGCTATTCCACCGCCCCCTCAAGAAGGAATAACCAGGCCAAATGTCATGGTATATATTTAGATGAGGGGCGGTGGGGTAGCCTAGTGGTTAAAGCGTTCGCTCGCCACGCCGAAGACCCGGGTTCGATTCCCCACATGGATACAACGTGTGAAGCCCATCTCTGGTATCCCCCATCGTGATATTGCTGGAATATTGCTAAAAGCGGCGGAAAACCATACTCACTCACTCCTTCTTGTGACGGATCCGATATTGAGTTTTTAATTACAAACATACCAGAAAAAACCTTTAAGGCAAAGAAGCATGTTTATATCTCCCGAATAACGCCACATTATATTTAAAAGTTTCATAAAACTGTTGTTTTATATACACCTGAAATTGACACTACGAACAGACAGAGCCACATGTACCACTGTTTTTACCGATCGTGCAATGATAGGGACATCGCCTCTGTAACAAAGCAGAGAGATATTATGCAGACCAGACTGGTGCCAATACCACTGGTGCCAATACCACAGGCGCCATGGATGTTTTTACTAACACCTGCGAGACACATATCGTTTTTCCATTACCAATCTCTCGAGAAAGGTGAGGAGTATTGCCGTGTCAATTTTCTTAACACCTATCAGCCTTTAGTGCCACGCTCACTACAGATCTCAGACTCGGAGGTGGAAATTCTTCTTGGAGGCGCTGACAAAATAAACCCGCAGGACTTTGTCAGTTATCATTATTGTATCAAAGCATGTATGGTGAAAACATCAAGTAATTAACTGGTAGACTGGCCCTAAGTATTACCCCAAACCGACAGCTAATCACTTTGGTCGTTTTTGCTTGGCAGCCTAGTCTGAAAATTACGGGAGGAAATTTGTACATGGTGTATATCAAAACACAGATTACTGACACCGCAGTTGGCAGTTGAGCTGTAGGTTTAATCAACATGGTGATGCAGTTGACGGCTGAATATTTGCATGCTTGCTCAAAACCGGTACAATAAACACAATGCTGGAATAAATATCAGACCGATCTGATTAGGGTGTGAACGTCCGTGTACGATCACATATAAAAATGTAAATCTCTAAGCGATTCTGCAGCACCGTCAAGTCGACAGAGGGGATGATTCGACATAGATGCTTTGAGACAGGCTTTGAATTTGATAGAAAAACGACCACCCAACAGGGTCGTACAAGTTTAAGCTCAGTTGAATTTTCTTGTCCAGTGAAAGATCAAGAGACTTGCTTAAGTCGAGCATATTTATTGCCCAATATGTGTACGCATTTAGTAAATGTCACGATTGCCTGCTTGCACGTGTATCATGTGCAAATCGTAAAAGGATAAGAAAGATAATTCATTATCGATAAAGTAATCTACATCCGAAAGAACATTATTTTCACCGGTTGCACCTCTACATAATGTTTTTTTGCGTGCTGCTTTTCGTAGTAGAAACTTTCACACACTTTTGCTGTCTCTGACAAACAAGGAAGTGATATCTGCGCCAGGCAAAATAGGCTTTGGTAGCTCGAACCATCTCCAGTATACAAGGGTTCAAACGACTTTAGTTCGTTATACCCGTAGTACGTTATACGCTTTGACTATATATGCAAGTGGTTGGGACAAAAATAACCAGTTCGTTATAAACGGAGTTTACTGGACCACGTCAGTTTACGCTGAAACACAATCAGCTTACACAACATGACCGTCGTATCACCAATTTACGGCTTCAACAAATAATTTTTTTTTAATTGTTTTTAAATTACGGCTTCAACAACAAGCATGAACTGGGTGAGAATGATTTTACGCCGCTTTTAGCAATTGTCTTGCAATATCACGGAGGCGGACACCCGAAATTGGATTCACATATCTTACCCAACGGGAATCAAAATTCATACCTGTACCTTCGGCAAGACAACTGAACTGTTTCCCCACTGGGCCAGCCTACCGCAGGCATACTGAACCTTTTCACCACTAGGACAGCCCACCGCAGGCATACTGAACCTTTTCACCACTAGGCCACAGTACCGCAGGCATACTGAACCTTTTCACCACTAGGCCACAGTACCGCAGGCATACTGAACCTTTTCCCCACTGGGCCAGCCCACCGCAGGCATACTGAACCTTTTCACCACTAGGACCAGCCCACCGCAGGCATACTGAACCTTTTCACCACTAGGACAGCCCACCGCAGGCATACTGAACCTTTTCACCACTAGGCCACAGTACCGCAGGCATACTGAACCTTTTCCCCACTGGGCCAGCCTACCGCAGGCATACTGAACCTTTTCACCACTAGGACAGCCCACCGCAGGCATACTGAACCTTTTCACCACTAGGACAGCCCACCGCAGGCATACTGAACCTTTTCACCACTAGGACAGCCCACCGCAGGCATACTGAACCTTTTCACCACTAAGGGCCACAGTACCGCAGGCATACTGAACCTTTTCCCCACTAGGCCAGCCCACCGCAGGCATACTGAACCTTTTCCCCACTAGGCCACAGTACCGCAGGCATACTGAACCTTTCCCCACTAGGCCAGCCTACCGCAGGCATACTGAACCTTTTCCCCACTAGGCCACAGTACCGCAGGCATACTGAACCTTTTCCCCACTAGGCCAGCCCACCGCAGGCATACTGAACCTTTTCCCCACTAGGCCACAGTACCGCAGGCATACTGAACCTTTTCCCCACTGGGCCAGCCTACCGCAGGCATACTGAACCTTTTCACCACTAGGACAGCCCACCGCAGGCATACTGAACCTTTTCACCACTAGGCCACAGTACCGCAGGCATACTGAACCTTTTCCCCACTGGGCCACCCTACCGCAGGCATACTGAACCTTTTCCCCACTGGGCCACAGTACCGCAGGCATACTGAACCTTTTCCCCACTAGGCCAGCCCACCGCAGGCATACTGAACCTTTTCCCCACTAGGCCAGCCCACCGCAGGCATACTGAACCTTTTCCCCACTAGGCCAGCCCACCGCAGGCATACTGAACCTTTTCACCACTAGGCCACAGTACCGCAGGCATACTGAACCTTTTCACCACTAGGCCACAGTACCGCAGGCATACTGAACCTTTTCCCCACTGGGCCACCCCACCGCAGGCATACTGAACCTTTTCCCCACTGGGCCAGCCTACCGCAGGCATACTGAACCTTTTCCCCACTGGGCCACCCTACCGCAGGCATACTGAACCTTTTCCCCACTGGGCCACAGCCCGGTACCGCAGGCATACTGAACCTTTTTCCCCACTGGGCCACAGTACCGCAGGCATACTGAACCTTTTCCCCACTAGGCCACCCTACCGCGGGCATACTGAACCTTAGGCCAGCCCCCCACTGAACCTTTTCCCCCAGCCACACCGCAGGCATACTGAACCTTTTCCCCCCACTGGGGCTACCGCAGGCATACTGAACCTTTTCACCACTAGGCCAGCCCACCGCAGGCATACTGAACCTTTTCCCCACTAGGCCAGCCCACCGCAGGCATACTGAACCTTTTTCCCCACTAGGCCAGCCCACCGCAGGCATACTGAACCTTTTCCCCACTGGGCCAGCCTACCGCAGGCATACTGAACCTTTTCACCACTAGGCCAGCCTTACCGCAGGCATACTGAACCTTTTTCCCCACTGGGCCAGCCCACCGCAGGCATACTGAACCTTTTCCCCACTAGGCCAGCCCACCGCAGGCATACTGAACCTTTTCCCCACTAGGCCACAGTACCGCAGGCATACTGAACCTTTTCCCCACTAGGCCAGCCCACCGCGGGCATACTGAACCTTTTCCACCACTAGGCCAGCCCACCGCAGGCATATACTGAACCTTTCACCACTAGGCCAGCCCACCTAGGCATACTGAACCTTTTCCCCACTGGGCCAGCCTACCGCAGGCATACTGAACCTTTTCACCACTAGGCCACTAGGCCAGCCCACCGCAGGCATACTGAACCTTTTCCCCACTAGGCCAGCCCACCGCAGGCATACCTGAACCTTTTCCCCACTAGGC